TAAACCAATTTATTTTTATGCATTTTCTAGGTTTAAAAAAAAAAGATCTCAAATGCTTATATTATGGCCTCTAAATCCCACTAAGAAAACACTGATTACATGCAAGTACATTTGCTTTTCAATCAGATTGAGAATAGTTAGCAATTTACACTAACCTGAAATACAGGCAAATTGACTCCTGGAGCCCTTTATTAAGTGGCACATTCTATAGCCTCTTTTAACTGTGACCAAGTTACAAATAGACACAGCTGATTTATACTTTACAGTGCCCAGGTCCAAAGCACCAAGTTTAAGACTTGGTTTTTGACATAGGATGCAAATCAGTAAACAATGGACTTACCAGACACTTTAAAGTATCCTGCCATACGGAGAAATACACCAGACAACCTAGTAGTACCAAAGCCTTGGGCAAATGGAACAACAGATTTATATTTGTGAGAGGATGAAGCCAAGGTCAGGATACATATTGAGAAAAGCAGATGTGGGTGAAGTTGTTCCTTAGGCCTATAATTTAGAAATACGTAATGTCTGCATGCCTCAAAAGTTCCCTCTCTTTAACAGGCTCTGCATGTTGGGGTGGTAGTTGAATTGTACATAAACAGGTTTTGAGGGACATCCCCTCAGGGAATGTCTGACGGCCAGTTTAGGCCAAATCAGCCTAAACTGGCAGTCGGATATTCCTCTCACAATCCACGACTGCTGGCTCCACACTGCTTCCCTGCCTGACTGATTGCACCTAACTGCTCACCTGCCTGCCTGATGCCTCTAATGACTCTGCCTGCTTGCCTGATGACCCATAACCACTCTGCCTGCCTACCTGATCATCCCCAACCACTCACTTGCCTGCCTGATGCTCCTAACTGCTGGCCTCCCTGCCTGATCACCTCTAATCATTCTGCCTGCCTGCCTGATTGCCCCTAACCACTCTGAATGCCTGCCTGATTGCCCCTAGCCACTCTTCCTGCCTGCCTAATTGCCCCTAACTACTCTTCCTGCCTGCCTCATCACCCCTAACCACTTGCCTGCCTGCCTGATCACCCCTAACTACTTGTGTGCCTGCCTAATCATCCCTAACCACTAGGCATGCCAGCATGCCTGATCATTAACTAACTGCCTCTGTCTCAACCCCCATCACCTGGGCTTAGTCTGGAATGATGTCCAAAATGACACCCAGAAGATCGGTCAGCTATCTGGTCTAATTAGCATATTACACTTTTATTATTATAGATACTGCACAGAGGTAGACTAATTAATAATTCAATTAAATAAACAATGATTTTTAGAGGATTGTTTTCATGAATTTGAACTTTAGGTAGCAATGAACTATGATATCTGAGTGGCAAGAAATACATGAGGTAAGATCTATGGTTTCTTAAATGTATTATCATGACAGCTTTACCAAGTTGTGTAGGAAAGGCAAATCTAAGCAGAGCCTGGTGGACTCCCTGAGTTGAGTAAACAGGTCTGAGAAAAGGTTTGCAAGTGGTCTCACATATTAAGTGTCTGTAAACTAGCTATACTTAATAAGGATTCCTGCGTTCTTAATGGAATAAACAGTACTACAATTCTAGACATAGTATTATCAAATAGTCACACCTCAATTTCAGGTAGTTTAAGGGGCCTACTTAAATCAACAGGCTTTCTATTCTTCTCTCTCCTACCCAAGTCCCCATGTCCCTATGTAGGTTCATTCTATTTGTTTTATGGCTCAGTTCCAGTCTGTGTTTTGTAGATATCCAGGGTAGAGTTTTATGGTTGGTCCAGAATAAAAAAACTAACCTATTTCTTACTGCAATTTCTAAGATAATTTCTTTCTAAACTATAGGAACATAATCTTGTATAAAGAAGATTCTCTGGTGCCAAAAGAATAGGACAACTGCCCTAAGTAAATTTCAAGTTGAACCTGTTCCCACCCACTACATCCTACTCCCCGCTTCCCCGCCCCCTCCTGCCCCCAGAGCCCACTCCCAAGCAATGGAGCACCTAGGACAGTATATATTTCTTTTCTAAAGTAATTTCTTTCCCTTGACAGTTGCATTGTTTTTATCTTTAGTTTTTATTTGGCTGGGAAAGAGAGTCCTCAGGAGAAAAGAACTCGGCATCCTTGTCAATTCTTCTGTTCCTGCCCATTAAACTCTGTTGTCTTCTCTTCAATGAAGGTAACTGAATTCCCTTGGCGCCATCTACCTGGGTTGGGTGGCTATGATGGCAGGAAAAAAAAGGAGCTGCAAAATGTTCTCATTCTCTCCGCAACCCATCCCATTGTCACACAGCTCGCCTCCAGGTGCCTCTGTCTCTGTCTAACTTATTCTTTATCTCCTTCTGTCACTCTATTTGTCTCTCTCCCTCCTTACAGAAAGTTGTATTATGCAGATGATTCGCACATCTTAAATTTCTATCACTCATCTAAATGTAAACCGAACCAAATGGTCTCATGTGACTGCTTAAAACATCACAGTTATAAATTACCGACAGTTGGAAATTACCAACATTGGCTTCTTTTTCTCCGTAAAAAAAAATATGTTTCTCCACATGCTAAAACCCAGCAGAGGGCATCCTTCCATCTCAAATGCATGAATACTGCAGCAAAAAGGCTCCACAATGCCAGCAGTGTCTTTTATTGACAATTGTGCACTGTGACTCAAATAAAGAGGCTCTTGTGGGAAGAGGGGAAATTGTTATATAAGTTATTCAGGAGTGTCTACCTCCATTTTGAGTTATAGATTTAGAAATCATTTTCCTTTTGTGAGAAAAAAAAAATCTCTGTCTCTGGCCTCTCTCCAAGTTTGGAGCATTAAGCTTCAAATTTCAGAAGCAACAGGGTAGCACCTGTGAGATCCTTCCTCCTCTAGGCTTCTAAGTGTGAAAATAAAATGATGACTGAGCAAAAGAGCCCCCCCTTTTTGTGGCACTTTTATTCTATTCCCCAAACTACAAGACAAAAGCAGAAAAGGCACCCCAGCCTGTTAGATTGTCTCAGAGGCAGGAAGAGGAGAAGCATGGGCCAGAGCAGTGCGGCAGGCATGGTCGACCTTGTACCTGTGTAAGCAGGCAGTCGCCCACTAAGTGTCATTATGCAGTTTCACAGAAACTTAAGTCCCACAATGACAAATATCCTACATTGTCAGAAGAGTTTCCTGGGTTAAAAGGCAAATGCTCACATCCCTTATAAGTGAGTTGCTCCCTGGTGTAGATAAGTTTATCAGATTATCTCCTTATGGAAGAATGTCCTCAGGAGAGAAGGAAAGATTTTGAGAAGATGAGAGAGCATCATTGATACATCCATTCAACATGTTTTTGAGACTGTGCCAAACCCTGTCGTTGGTGCTAAGAAAGCATCAGCAACCAGTTCATGACCTTAACCTTGAGATCATGTACCAACGAGCAAGGTTCTAAGGAGCTGGACAGACCTAACCTTGAGTCTGGCCCTGCCATTTACCAGCTATGTATGTGACTTGGTACAAAGGACTTAATATTCTCTTTTGCAAAACAAAAATAATAACTGTTAATATTTACTGAAAATATAACTTTGTTCCATTTCAATGAAACTTAGTTCCAGGCACAGGAACTAAGTATATATATCATAAACCTCCACAATTAGCCAATGGAAGTAGTTCTATTATCATTATCATTTTATAAATGGGGAAATAGAAGCACAAAGTGACTTACAAATTGCCCACAATGACATGGAAGCCTCGGAGCAGGACTTTGAAACAAGGCTGCCTGATTCTGGGGCCTCTTAACCAGTATGCCAGAGCATAGATTTCCAAGGCGGTGGGGAGGACTGGATCAGAAGGCACGTGTAACATCGACAGCACAGTTTAGCATTATTCTTAGTATTATTGTTATGATATATCATGATTATCATCACAGCTTTAGAGACCTAAGGGTCTATATTGAAATACCAAACATGAGGTTCAATACTTCAAGTCAACATTCCTCTGCTTGGGAATGCAGCCTGTGCCCAGCTCTGAAACTCGGGTGGCATAATGTCACAGCTATGGATTCATGGCTTCCTGCGTTTATCTTTCCATAAGAGGACAGGCTGCCTCGAAAAATTATGGCTCCAGACAGATCAGAATACAGGTTCCCTATAAGAGTATGACAAGAATATGAGATTCCCTGTAACAAAACATAAGTATTTTCTGCTCTGTTTTGTTGTGTGTTTTTTCCCCCTAAACTCCCCTGAAGTTAAAGGTTAAGACCAGATGCAAAACAAAAGCTAAATCCAAGTATTTGTCTGTCCTTTGTTCTCTGAGAGATCCTGTAATCACCCTCTCTTTGCTCCCAGTTTTCCAAAGTGCGCTCTCTAGAGCCCTCTCCTGGCCTTCTCACAGATTAAGCATGTCCATAGATCAATAGGCGTTATTATGCTAACAGTATTACTCAAAGAGAAGTGAGGCAGACATGCTTTCTTGTTGCTCTGGGAGTTCTCTCTGCTTGTTGTAAGCCTGAATGTGTGTCTCATGCTGCTCCATTACCAAAATCAAGAATAATTTTAAACAAGCAGATACATTCTTGCTCCAGACCCCATTTCTTATTGATTTCATTTCAGGACTGTCATCTTAAGTCCACTACGTAGGAAACTGAGTGCTGGGTAATGAATGGGGTATAAGAGAATTCACAAATATATATCTTACAAATAATCCATTTTTCTTGCCTCTACCAAAAAAAAAAAAAGTTTTTCATACCTCATGCCGAGCTTCATAACACAAAGCCCAAGTCAACTGAACATTTTTAAAAAATGTATCCTATTAAAAAAAGGCCATTTCATGCTGATTTTATCTCACCGTGCGCAGGGATGAACTCTGTTGAACACATACCGTATTTTCCGGCGTATAAGATGTACTAGTATAATACAACTGTTTAGGATAGTTTCATTCCTTTGGATTTGAACTTGAAAAATAGCAAGTATCCTAGTGATTATGTCGCAAGTGACCTTGTCATACATAGACTTACAGATCTCTAAAAATACCGGATAAAAATAAGATTTTCCTTACCCCAAGATAATGGCCATCGATGAACACGACAGGGAGGGAGGGAGCTTCTGAAACCCGTCGGCAGCGCTCATCTAACTCTTTTCCATAGTCGCCATTCAGAGCTATGTTTTTCTCTTCAAATTTCACTCGATGGTTTTGGAAGATCTTTCTAACCAGTTCACATCTTTCAAAGGTTGTCCGCACCACCCGAAGGCAAGTGGTATAAATCACCACGCGGTCAAATTCCAACTCCGTTGATGGTTGCTAAAGGGAAAATATTATAGTGTAAATATGTTTGCATTTACTTTCCTTGCGTTTATTTTAAGACAAATAATTTTTTAAGACAATTACGTTTTAGCAAGTGTCTTATATATTAAGGGCATGCAATACAAGTTGAATAAATGCTGTATTTGTCAATTCTCTGACATGACTTTTTAAGTTAAAACACCTATAACTGAGATGCAGATAGCAATCAACATAATTTAAATGACATAATTTAATTGACAGTATTTTTGCTGCTCTCAGTGGCATACCTTAAAACTGATGATGTCTTACTTGGCATACCATGTGGTGAAATAAGGACTGGTTGAATTATTTTTCTCATGTTTTGTAGACATTGTTAAATTACTACATCTGCCTGTTAAACCCAAAGTAAAATATGGAACAAAATAGGTTAGCATATAACCATTTGAAAATTCTTTTACAAATCAATTTACCAAATTTCATAGTCTTTTGCACCACAAATTTTCTGGGAATAACAAGACCTACGTCATAAGATTTTTCTGAGGTTTAAACAGCACAACGCATGGGCATGAGATCTGTTGAGTAACAGCTCTCCAGTGCGCAGTGAGAAGGCTCTGCCACAAGGAATGAAAGACTGAGTAACTCAGGGGGAGTGCATAGAAATCAATAGCCAAATGGGGAGTGGGTCGAAGCCAGGCCTGACAAGGAAACAAAGAAACAGGTGCACTGCACCTAGCCAGGATGGCTCAGTTGGTTGAGCTTTGTCCCATGTACTAGGAGGTGGCTGGTTCCATTCTTCATCAGGGCACATGACTGGATTGTGGGCTTGATCCCCAGTGGGGGTCATTCAGGAGGCAGCCAATCAATGTTTCTCTCCCATCCTCTCTCTGAAATATTATTTAAAAAACAAACAAACCAGTAAATTGCAATGGAGGCAAGCAACTCTCACAACAAAAGAGAAGTCTCCTTCTGTGAGAATTGCTTTTTCAACAGATCCTGCTACATCAGAAATCAGGGACTGTATTCCTGGAAACCTTGCCCAGCATAGCTCAGATTATACCAGGTCGATCCTAGCATCATCAGGAAAGACCTGTTTCCTCCTAATCACAGTGCTACTTGCAGGAGACTGAACAGAGTATTGCTATACCATGAGACAAGGGACATGGGAGTCTTCACAGGGCCCCAGTTGTTGAAACACAACCATACCATTTGTAAACCCGGGTGAAGTCCAAACACTGAATGGAAACTGCTCCAGCCAGCTAAACACCAGAATCAGAAGGTAGGATACTAAGCTTCATCACTTTGGGTTCAAAGAAATCAGAACATTCTGCTGGATACATATGTATAGATAGTTCTAAAAAGATCCAAAGTCATGAAAATGGCAATGTAATGTTCTCCACCTCACCAAAAGAGAGGACATCTCTCTTTCCAGATTACCAAGTTTATTAAAGATGAAATGCAGGGAACCAATTCCAGCATGTAATAATTACAAGAGTTTCACTGAAAGGTTGGTGAAGCTTGGGTGGCTCAACAAGGGTGAGCTACATACGTAGTTTACCTGTTGGAAATGGCTAATGGCACTTTCCCCAAACCTGAATAGAATTGTTAACTGCCAGAGTGCTCAGAGCATTTTATTGCCTCCTATTGGCCAAACACTGAACAGTTATCGGCTATTCCCCAAACTGACAATGCTTCTGTATGCTTTGATACCTTACCCTTCAAAGTATATTCCTCCACCTTACTTGGGACAAATTGTGTTATAATAAAAGCACGGGGTCTTAGACGAGGAAGGAGTCTTTAACTCCTTCAGCGGAAGATCCTATGACCCCCAATGCCTTTCAAAATTATCTTTTGTCCTTGGACTCCTTCTTGAATCTGCGTACAGCCCCTCCCAATATGTTACACTTTTTTTTTTTCAATAGCTACATGTATTTTTAAAAATATTTGATCAGAAATGCATTTCCCCATGTGTAGAAGTGGGAAATTTTGAAATTGGACCTCTCTGATGCCACATTAACCAACTCACATAGGATGCTCTCTACACACACATTAAACCATAGGTACCACCCTCCTGTGTGTCTCTGGGAATCATGCATTAAAAGCTAGTAATGAGATACACCCCTATCAGGTGGTCACATTGGATGCTATCTAATGCAAAGGATAACAAAAATATCTCTTTATCTGCTGTTGAGGATGAGCTCTGTCTGGAATGACTCGATCTACTAGAGTGATATTAGATATTAGAATAAACTGGGAGCTTTTTCAAATCCCCAAAGTCCACACCAAGCACATGCCAATTAAATTAGAATCTCCAGGATTTGGGACTGCAGAGTGGAGTATTTTTTTAAAGCTCCTGAGGTGGTTCTAATGGGAAACTACATTCTATAGCTAATTAGTAACCAGTTGAAATATAGAATTATAGTCAGCACCCACATCTGAATCTGAATCTGCATTTTAACAAGTTTTCTGGAAACTTAGATCCACATGACATTCTGAGGAGCTCCAGTGCAATCACCTAGGCCAGTGGTCAGCAAACTCATTAGTCATCAGAGCCAAATATCAATAGTACAATGATTGAAATTGCTTTTGAGAGATGAAAACCAACTTCTGTGCATGGGCCAGGAAGTATCAATCACACTGAACCTGCGCGCCCACATGTGGTATTTTGTGGAAGAGCCACACTCAAGGGGCCAAAGTGCCAAAGTGCCACTTGGGCTCGCGAGCTACAATTAGCCAACCACTGACCTAAGCAGTTGGATTTTGCAGAGAATCAGGGATTATATCCCTTTAAGATAACTGCTAGTCATTCCTTCAGTTCTTAGAACAATTCATTTGCCAAACATGGTGCTGGGCACTAGATACCAAATGGTGGCCAAAGAATATAATTCCTTAACAACACAGAACTAAAATACTAAAAAAAAAGAAACTCAAAAGTTACATAATCAAATGTAAAACAACAAACTGTTAAATGTTGTTAAGAAAATGCACACAGTGTTAGGAGAGCCTATTGAAGGAATGCCTTCTCTTATCTTAAAGGTTGAGAAAGTGTCTCCTGATATTTGGATACTGATTGAAAGTATAAGAAGGATTTGACAGAGAAATTGCCTAGGTAGAGAGCACGAAGGAAAGTATTATATGTGAGGGCAAAGATCTCGCCTGGGAGGCAGATAGATAGCATGCTGAAACTCTGAAGTAAGGTCTTTTGCTGAAACAGAGAGAATTATAATAGTACTCAATGATTCTGGACAAGTGCGTAGGATCAATATCATGTTGTACTTTATAGCCACTGTAAAGATGTAGGCCTGTCATCTAAGAGCAGTTAGAAGTCCCTGAGGCTTTTAAGGAGGATGAGAGGGACTTACATTTTAAAAAGGGAAGTGAAGCAAGGCCAGAGGGGAGAACTGCACAGAACATGTGCTGCGCAAACGTCGGGATTGTCATTGGTAGCAGAGGCTAAATGAGTTATGCCTTCAGGGTTGTATCGTCCACAGCTTGAGCACAATACAATGCATAGTCTCATTCCCAATTCCCTCTGTCTTGGAACAGATTGAATAGAGGTTACATTTAGGGTAAGAGATATGGGTACCCCTTAAAATAGGCTATTAAGTAAAATATTCTAAAACCATCCGATTGCACAACTTTTGGGATGACTTGGAAGGAGATCTTCTTAAAGGTAAAGGTAGGCTGAATGATTTCTCAAGGTCCTTTCCAGTTTTAAAATATGAATTTTCAATGATGCTGTTTTTGGTCATAAAAAAAAAATCCTCTCCTACATTTGTTTCATTTTCATTCCTTCAACAGACGTGTAAAGCATCTGCCTGATTCTAAAAATAGCATCTCAGTGGTTCACTGTCCCTCTTCTCCCTTGCTGAGGGTTACCATGGGAATAGCGTAACGAAGGAGGAAGCATCTGAGACAGCAGGATTTGTAGCCTGCTTGTTCAGAGAGCTGACCTAGATGCTAATAAAAGCAGGCTATTTCTTCCTTTCCATTGATTAAAAAGATGAATCTTGGTGCCTGCTAGGCACTGGAAATATCAGGGGCATCACTTTGTGAGGTGTGTGATTTGTTAACCACTATGGCTGCACAAGTGAAATGAGTACAAAATAATATTTGAATACAAAATAATATTTGAATACAAACTGTAATTTAAAAAATTTAAATACAACATTTATTTTAAAAATATGAATCTTTTTTTCTTTTTCATTGTTTAAAGTATTACAAATAGTAGTACATATATCTCCTTTTTTTTTTTTCCAAGTGACCTTCCCCCAGCTTCCCCTACCTTCCCTAATTATGAATCTTAGTGGTGCCCTCAAGCCTAGCTACAATCCACAGCAAACGTAGACCTGTGGGCAAGGGCTGGGCCCACTGCTGTGAATGAGACCCAGAGGCTCCTAAGTAGCCAACGCATGTCCTCAGCCTGCACTTGGTTCAGCACCAGTCACTGTGAAAGTGTAAGCACTTCAGTCACCTAGTCATCTTGGGACAATTCTGGAGCCCCACACCCACTGGAGCTGCCACTGGAACCCAGGACAAGGATCAGGCCCCAGCCCTCCTGTCAGAGGGTGAACTTGGAGCAAACACCCAGCTCCTCAGCTGCAGCCAATCCAGTGGGTCATTTCAACTCGACCCTTGCCTGTCCAGCCTGGCCCTGTTTGACAAGGCCTCCTGGTCTTACCCAGGATGCCCCCAAGCCACTGAGAAGCTAGTGGTCTCCAGACAACTTCAGGAATTCAGGTCTTAAGCAAAAATTTAAAGTAACAGTTTTTGTCAGTCTGTTCTATGTCTCCGTGCCTCTGGTTCTATTTTATTCATCAGTTTGTTCTGTTCATTAGATTCCGTGTTCATTTGTTTTGGTTTTTAGATTCAGTTGTTGATAGACATGTATTCATTACCATGAAGAGACTAATGAATCTCAGTGGGAAGGGAGTTGAGGGTGGAAAGAGATTAACCAATGATCGTACTTGTATCTATGCATTACCTGTGGACACAGACAATAGGGTGGTGAAGGCCTGAGA